TGTTAACTGATTAACTGTTGGAAAAAGACAGGTAAAATGTTAAAGGGACTGAGTATGAGTGCCTCTGTTTTGGGTCAGAACTCTCCTGGTTTGCATCTACTCATCTTTCTGCATTCCCAGTAGCAGAAGAGCAAGAAGCCTGCTCTAATAGGGTCAAGTGAGCATTCCCTTAGTGTAGCAAGTCCTTGACTCTCCTCTCCCCTCTCTCTGTGTCTGAGGGCTGGTATTTCAGGAATAATCAGCTACTTTGTGGCTCGTAAAGAAGGATATTAGCCAACCAAAGTAACTTCCTCTTCCAGTGCTGAGGAAAGTTGGACCGTTAGAGTAAAACCTTAAGGTGATTCTGCTGCCGTCTCATCTGATGTGCGCGCTTGGATCCTTGTCTGTGGTGACCTAGCCTGCTGACTTAATAGGATAATCCTGATGTATCCCATTGTAAACAAGGGAGAACTCATAAACTTTTGGTATATGCATCTGCAAGAGATGGCTCATTTATTCAGTTGATTCTGAACTTTTAGGATGCTGGCCTAGATCAGTCCTATGTTTAACTTAAATGAAACATGGCTCTGCATGAAATTTACTGCTGCAGGTTGATTTTTGAAAGCTGGTTTTAAGAGCACATGCAGAAAATTGTTTACACCTTGGACCCAAACTGCAAGTACAACTCCCACTGAAATCAGCTGTTTTTGTGTGAATGTTTCTGAGGGGAAAGACTGTTTGAATAAGGCCATTTGATTTTTATGAATGTCAACATTTTAATTTTAGCTGATTCACTGTCTTGTGTTCAGTGGCAACAGTGATTGCTGGAGAGCTATGGGAAGTGAGCCAAGTGGACGCAGGCAAACTAGTTTAAAATTATATTGTGTCCCTGGCATACTACAGTGGAAAAACTTAATATAGAAACTGGACATTGTAGAAGCCCAGAACTGGGTTTAAAAGCACCTGACTGAAAGTTACCAAGTTAATTTTTGAGAGTGTGTCTGCACTGAGTGATGGTAGAGATGTGCAAGGGACTGTAGACAGACTGCAGATCTGAGCTAAAGGCTGCTGAAGAGAATTGGATAGCCTGAAACTGGCAACTGGCTTATTCGCCTAGGCAGGGGTTTGACCTGTCAGTGCTCTTTGTTTTACTGTGTATGTACTCACCATGCCCTACAGCTGTGCTTACATCAGCTGGTTTGGTACTCCAGAGCATCATAGGACCTAATGCCTGTTAGGGAATAATTTTCAAAAACCAACTGTTTCCTCATTTGCTGATGACTTGGGGGCTGTATGAAGTGACGTACATACTCTAACATCCCTTTCAACTCAGGAAAAAATAGGAGTCTTTTGACTGTCAACCTCTTGCAAGCCACCCAGCCAGCACTTTTCTTTCTTACAATGTGGATTGTCTTTCCATGCTCCTTATCCATCCTGTTTAAACAAGCAGGCAAGAAGCAATTATACAACAAACATTTCTAAACATGTGGACCAAAGAACAGAATGACTGCTTAGGTAAGCAAGGTAACTAGGTATTTTGTTTTAATTCAAGGGAAAAATCTCTCAAATGTCTAATTATGTGTTTATTAGTCACTACATTATACCAGTATTACTGTGGAGCATAAATGTGTTTCTTGCCTTTGAGTGCAGCAGCTTAGATAATACTTGATGGAATCCTACTAATTTAAGACTTACAGTTGGACTGCATCTTAAACACAGCTGCTCCTCAATACAAAAAAACTCGTGGGAGATTGAGTGAAGCAGAAAAAAGCTGTCAGTGAACTTCCACCTCACACATGAGGTGCAAATCAAGTAAGTGTGTTATGTTAAAGAAATATTCTCGGTTGCAGTGTAACATATAAAAAGTCTAATTTCCTTTTGTAGGTAACTTGTCTTGTCAGCAGTTTCCAACTATTTGAAGTAAAAATTTTCCATTTAGTTCTAGTGGTTTGGTAGGAATCCCAGTCCCTTTTTCCTCTCTTACCTTGCCTTATAAAAAATACATTTAGTTCCAAAGGATTTTTCTTTCAGAACCAACATATTACAATAACTGATGTTCATTACAGTCCATTCCAAACAAATTATTTTCCTCTGTTTTTTAATGACCTTAATAATGACTTAATCAAAACCAGTTTTAAATATGCAGTTATTTTTGTGGTGTTTCCAACATATATCATTAACTGGAGCGTCCAAGAGTAGACTCACAAAAAATTGTGCTGTGGTAGCAGATACTTTAATACTGAAATCATGTTGTGGCAGAGCCATGTTTTAAAGTAGCCAAAATAAAGTGACTTGTATATTTATATTACATTAAAATATGGAAAGAAAGGTTTTTATTGTGAGACATCTGTGCATTCTATCAAGTTAGGTTTTCCATATTTTTTTCCATTTGGATTGCCTTAATATTTTTTTTTTATTATATGAAAAAGCCAAGATTTGGGGGTAGCGGCTTAAGAGCAGACAGAAAAATTGGTGTAATTTACTTTTGAATGCAGATCTTTTTTTCAGGCTTCCAGGAAAATTGGTCTTTGGAGTTTAAAATCTGCCCTGGCTTTCATTTAATGTAGTCACTGAATTCTGTGAGACTGCATGAAGCATGAGCTGAATCAGGCTTTTTCACTGTACCTTTTTTTGCTATATGCAACTGCTATTGCTGTGAAGTGATAAAGAAGTGAACTTTACTAAAACCTCTGTATCTTAACTATTTTTGAAGAGAAGATGCCATAAATTGTGGTGATTTGTATTGTGAGGCTAAAAATTGATTTGAAGAGTAAAACTGTAAGAACTGGTGCAGTTAGGTTGGAAAAAGAATTGCCTCTGGAAGGATGCGATGAGATGTCCCAAGACTGTGAATTAAAATCAGGAAAAGCCCACAACATAAAGGAATTCTATTACATGCTCTATTAGCTATATTTGAGAGTCAATTTCATGATTGCAGTAGTACCCTCAGAATCTGTAATCTGTGTGGCTGATGAATCTTTATTATACTGTAAACATTGTTTTCAGATAGGTTGGTATTAATTTCCATTCATCATTAAGCTAAGTGGGATTCATTGGCTCATTTTTAATGAAGTTGTGCTGGCAATGGGATATTTCTGAAAGGAAGTCTTTCTATGGGTGGTTCTGTTTGCTCCTGTGGGATTATGTATGAAGATGTTGCAGATTTGTGGTAGAAGTGAAAAGTTAATATGAAAAGTGAAAACACAGTATATGACTTTGAGCAATGTGTTGCTCAGTCTTGGGCTGAAACTGCTTCAGGCTTCTGAAAACAGTGAGGTCTGTTCTTGCAATGAGCCTAAGCGGTGGAAATGAGGTAGGTACTGAATTTCTCTGTGTCTGTTGACTCTGGTCCTGTGGTTGCTGTGGTGTAATATAGGGATATATTTTTATCAGTGCAGGTAAAACTTAACTCTGATGCCATGAGGCCACCTCAAGTGTTTAAATCCTCTTGCTAAGCAGTCTCTTGGGAATGTCCTGTAGGCCACAGAGAATGCACACCAAAGAACCAAGCGCTTCTGTGTGTATGTGGATCTGGTTTTGTAGATCCCTTTTGCAGACTTTACTACAGTGAGGCCATTGCACTAATCCCACAAGTCAGCGCTCTTTCCTGCCATCAAAAGCCAGCCACTGCAATAGGAAAATTGAACGCGTGTTCTAAATGTATGTTAAACATTAAACAGAGGCGCTCCTTTCACTGCACCACTTCAGACCAATGAGCTCCATTTTGAAGCACTAAAATGACTTTGGTGTGTTAGGTGAAACTCACGCATCCAGCTGACAACTGGATTTCACAGACTAACGAGCTGTTTCCTTCATTCCATGCTGGCTGGAACAAACTACAGAGAGGAAAGAGGTACAAGTCTTATGAGTGGAAAGATGGAGACTGTTTTCTACTGTAACTGCAACATGAAGTAAACACACTGCATATTAGTTGTAAACATAAAATGAAATAGCTGATCTGGTGAGCAGTACTCTGTGAGATAAGAATGGTACTATTAAGTAAGAAGACAAGATTGTCGGAGAATCACAGAATCACAGAATATTAGGGATTGGAAGGGATCTCAAAAGATCATCCAGTCCAATCCCCCTGCCAAAGCAGGAACCTAAATGAGATCACATAGAAAGGCGTCCAGGCGGGTCTTGAATGTCTCCAGAGAAGGAGACTCCACAACCTCCCTGGGCAGCCTGTTCCAGTGCTCTGTCACCCTCACCGTAAAGAAGTTTTTTCTCAAGTTTAAGTGGAACCTCCTGTGTTCCAGCTCACACCCATTGCCCCTTGTCCTACCATTGGGCATCACTGAGAAGAGCCTAGCTCCATCTTCATGACATTTGCCCTTAACATATTTGTAGACATTAATGAGGTCTCCCCTCAGTCTCCTCTTCTCCAAGCTAAAGAGCCCCAGCTCCCTCAGCCTTTCCTCATAAGGGAGATGCTCCACTCCCTTAATCATCTTCGTGGCTCTGCACTGGACAATCAAGCAGTTCCCTGTCCTTCTTGAACTGTGGGGCCCAGAACTGGACACAATATTCCAGATGTGGCCTCACCAGGGCAGAGTAGAGGGGGAGGAGAACCTGTCTTGAGAAAGGACTATTTATCTCAGATAAAAGTCTCCTCTATTTACTCCCCAGAAAAAAAGTTACACACGTGAAGGTGAAGATGAATGAATGAAATAAAATTATTTACTTAAGAGTTAAAACCTACCTAAATGAGCTGCAGCACATTTAAGCACTGGCTTCATCCCAAGTCTTTGATTAATGTCTTTATTTTGCATATTCTAAACCATAACTGCTAAGTATCTTGCATGGTAAGGAATAGGATTGTTCATAGTCTAAAGTTAGCTTTAAGCATTTTGTTGAAAAATCCTTCAATTTTCTCTTGGAACTACAAATGTGTGTTACTGAAACTAATATTGGTAGAAAAAGTTTGATTTTGCTCTTATGATCATTTTACTTTTCCATTTGTAATTTGTTAACTTTGGCTATTTGTATTTTAGAGACAATTTGCTGTTTTCTTCCTTGCAGAACGTGGTTCGCCACGTAATTTGGTTACCACAGACATAACTGACACTACAGTTGGGTTATCATGGACACCAGCTCCAGGAGCAGTTAATGATTATAGGATAGTATGGAAATCACTATATGATGATACAATGGGAGAGAAGAGAGTCCCTGGAAATACCGTGGATGCTGTGCTAGAAGGCTTGGAGCCAGAGACTAAATACAGGATTTCAGTATATGCAACCTACAGCAGTGGAGAAGGAGACCCAGTGGAAGGAGAGGCTTTTACTGATGGTGAGTGTAGTGTATTACCATCATTTGTAATATTCTGTTCTTGATGAAATTATCATATTTAAAAGAAAATGGACCTTACTTTTCTTCACCTTTTTTTTTTTTTTTTTTTTTCCCTGGAAAGTGCCCCCAAACCAAAATGCCACCTCAGGTCAGTTAATTCTGGCTTTTTGTTTGAACATTAAAAACCAGGAAAGTCTCTTCTATGTCATGTAGGTTTTCAATTCAGCAAGAATTACTTCCCATTTAAGATGTGATTTTGTCTGGCAAATTACTCTGAAGCCAGCCTTTCATAGGTTTCATGTGACTGCTGTAAATCAGATGGAAGAAATGTTATGGATAGAGTAAGGAGGAAAGGTGGTGTAAATTCCCACGGAATCAATGAATTTCCTTTCAAAGCTATTGCCCTTACCAGTCTTCACGGTCCTCAAACTGAGGCTCAGTGGATGATTTTGATGTTTGTTATTTACCTTTCCTCAGACTCTTTTTTTTTTTTTCTTATTTGATAAACATTATGTACTATTAGTTAAAGCAGGCTCAAGTCTCTTCTGCAGTGTAGGCAAAGTAAAAAACACTGAGAGGCCGGGGTAGCTTGTTGCTGTATAGCAACAACTGGCAAACAGAGGAGACAGGATGAATGAAGAGATGCCTGGGATCTGCCTTGATGTTTCTCTTGTTTGCCTAAAGGGGCCATGTGAAGATGAAGCCTGAGGGAGTGCTCTGGGCAAGCGTGATGTATGTTTACACGTTCTTGTGCTCTTTCCTAAGCATCTGTTTTGACTACTGTCAGAGACAGGCTGGGGAACTACATTAACCTTTGTCCTTGACCTAGTATAGTTGCTCTTAAGGTCTTGCAAGAGCAATGATTGCTGCCATTGGTGAGAGCTGACTCCCCAGAGTCAAAGCAGACTGCTGTCCCACATCTTCTGTCTTTCTTCAAGAACAGCATCATTAGCTCTCCAATCTTTACCAGGTTAAGTAGGCAGCTTAACCATATCAGTTGTTGCTTCTCTCAGTGTGCTGCCAGAGGGAACTTGCTGTCAGGTCTATCAACAGATTCAGACCTGAGGCTAAGTAATATTTTCTGTTGCAAACACAATTAGAAATTCTCAGTTCCTAGGACCAGGAGAAGATGCTGTAGCCTGCAAACCCTACCTTACTGTGTGATGAAATACTGACCGATTCTGGCATGCCAAGGAAGTTCTGTTTTGCGAAAATCTAGATGGTTTATTCCGGCTGACAGCCAGCATTACATACCTTTCAGTTCACTTCAGATCATTTGTAACATTTGTGCAGTCTGGAAAATACCTCTTAGAAGCCGAGTGCTGCAATTTGTAGAGAAAATACTTTATTAGTCCCTGTGCTTATTTCAGCACATATACTATCCTGCAAATAGTGGCGAGTGATTTTCTAAGCATTTCAAAAGTCACTCACCACTATTTGCAGGATAGTTTGTATGGAGGCCAACACCCAGCAGTTTAGGTATTCACCAATACCTTATCAGATTGGTAAGCCTGAAACTTTGAAAATCTTGACTCTATAGGACATTGTGTACATAAAAAAAAATAAAAAAAGCCTTTGCAATTTATCACTTTCATTTGAGAGTACTGAATCCATTACTTAACAGTTTACTGAAAAGCATGACTAAATAAAATTCCCAGTGTCATCATGCAGTTTATACTTCTCTCTTTTTCTTTGCAGTGGAAAGCATACTCATTTTTGTTTAGTCCATTAAAATTACAAAATAATTTAACAATGGTCTGTGAGATTCCCTTGTGTCCACATAATCAGATACTGTAATTTTTTTTTAATATAGCAGAGTGAATTTTGTAGGCATGCATTTGAACATATCTTTATGTGACAAAGTAAACATTTATCCGTATTTTTACACTGAAAAGTGTCACCAAATGCCAGGACTGTGACAGTAGACAACGAGACAGAAAATACAATGAGAGTTACATGGGAACCTTCACCTGGGAAAGTCTTGTATTACCGTGTGTACTACCGACCACGTAGTGGAGGAAGGCAGATGTTTGGAAAAGTAAATGCTCCTGCTACAAGCATAGTGTTAAAGCGACTTAAGCCGCGAACTACATATGACCTCAGTGTTGTTCCATTTTATGATTTTGGACAAGGAAAATCAAGAAAAGCAGAAGGAACAACAGGTATGTATCACATGCTTGTACAGGATTTAATAATTAAAGTTTTGTGCTTAAAACTAATAATCACAATACATAGAAAAGAATGGTGGAGTCTGCCAAGATCATGTATTAACAGGCAAATTGAAGAAAATGTTAAAGGTTGAGAAGAGAATTTGTTGGAAACTTCACTGTGGCATAGCCTGAGTGCAGCTTTTTGCTGTTGATATTGAGGGTGTAAATACGTTGTAAAATCTGGTTGAAAATACTGGACTTGTTTGGAAACACTGTCATCAGAAGTTTAAACAGATGTTTTATGAGGAAGACAGTATGTCAACAGACTACTTAATCAAGTGTTGTCAGTTGTTTCAAAATTTGCCTTTTGGTCCTGGATATTGATTAAATAGTTACCTACCGTCCTGTTATATAGATTTGTCTTATTTGGTCACCATATCAGAAACGCTGTTTCTGAGTACTAACCTGCACTGGGTGGCCATTAGTCTTCAGAGGAAGTTGCTCTTGACCTAAAATCCTCAAACTGTTTGGCTGGCACTCCTCTGAAGAATTATTTTTTGATGTACTGACACATCTGTGGTTGGTGAAGTTGCTTAAGCTCCCAGGCCCTGGGCATGTAAAGGGAGAGGACTGTTGGCAGGACCTTTTCTCCAAAAGTATCCTTGCTTCCACACTCTCCATGCTCTGACCTGTGGGACTCAGAGCTCTGAAGAAGCAGCTTGAGCAGTGATATTGGTGACTGAGTACTGGCTGGGTGTGACTTTTACTTGCAGTAAATTCTGATTTTTCCAGTGTTGTTTTAAAAGGAAGCTGCTTCCATTTCTCTCTTTTGGTCTATATGGCTCACCTTCTTGCTGCCATTTAAAAGACAGAGGGCTAGTCTAAGCTGCTCATCTAGTTTTTCTCTGTAAGTAGTAGAGAGAAAGACTGATGGTGGTTAGTCCACCTATTGTCAACATTTTATTGCAAGATTTTATTGTGTTGTTTAAGATAGGTGAGATGAATTGCTATCTATCCCTCAGTCAGTTGACTATGGAGGGAGCCTTGATAACAAACTTAGTCCACATACCTATTGGTTAGATAGCTAAATTAGGTGAAGTGAATCCCACCTTTCACCTCTTGATACTTGTCTTTATGTCAAAGGAAAGGCATAAAGAGTTTAGGGATGCTATTAATACTGGATTTGCATATAGATTTTTTACATAAAAGCATATTTGTTGACTTTTTTCCATAACCAGACCTGATTTAAAACCCTTTTTTTCCATCCTTGCAGCCTCTCCCTTTAAGCCACCTAGAAATCTGAGAACTTCGGATTCAACAATGTCCAGCTTCCGAGTAACCTGGGAGCCAGCCCCAGGGCGAGTGAAGGGGTACAAAGTAACTTTTCACCCTACGGAGGATGATGGGAGTCTTGGAGAATTAATAGTGGGGCCATATGACAGCACAGTGGTATTGGAGGAGCTTAGGTATGGATGAGAATTCATGTGTTTGGTTTGTATTTTTTTAATAACTTTAGCTTAGGGTTTTGTTTAATCATGATCTGGGATGGAAATGCCTGGCAAAATCTACTGTAAGTAAGGAAGTAATTTTGTCAGTAGGCTATGAGGATCTTATTATGCAATCTCTGAAAGGCACCTGGTAGTGCTCTTTCTGAGACTATTGACATCAGTTGTGGTGTCCTCACAGGAACTGAAGGAGGCAAAGATGTGGGCAGAGGCTGTGTTCTGCATTTCGCATATAAGAAAGCTAATAGGACACTGGAGAAAATTGGGATTTCTAAAGTTTCCTCACAGAAGTTCCTTAACTCATGTTATAAAAGCCTAGTTTAGTTCTTGATTTATTTTCTCAGAGGCCTGGATTTATAAAGTAGCCTTCAGACCATGTCAAAATCTGTTATGTAAATATACTAAATATATTAAAAATGGATCATTAATTAATTACATTAGTCTTTATTAGTCATAAATTATTTGAATGAAGAAGGCTATGCATTTAAGTATAGAATCTAGAATCAGCTTTTAAATTGTCAAAACTTCATTGTCTTTTGGAAGAGCTAGACTTTGAGCTTCATGTTTTCGCACCTTTTCCATGGGGGATTTTTTTTCTGTGAGGATTTCTTAAGTGAAATGTTGACATTTAGTTAGCCAAATGACTTTAGTTACAGTACATTTGTTTGACTATTGCAGGGCAGGAACTACCTACAAGGTAAATGTTTTTGGAATGTTTGAAGGAGGAGAGAGCAACCCCCTGGTTGGACAAGAGATGACCACCCTTTCAGACACTACTTCCGAACCTTTTTTGTCTAGAGGTAAATATAACTGAATTGCAGAAAAGGCAGCCCTGGCTTATGGATAAAAAAAGACCAAAAGTTTAGCAGCATTTCCTTACCGTTTTTCTAATGCACATAAATATTTATTTACAGGATTCAGTATACTCCCTACCCTGATGACATAACCTCTGGTCTGAAATGACCACGAGGTATGCCCCACTTCATGATTCTAGTCCTCTGCACCCTTTAGATGATCTTACAAAGATGATAACTGAGGCAACCCATGTTTTACTGATTACTCAAAGCCATCTGCATTGCATTTTGAAACCATCCACATCTGTGTTAAATCACATAAGGTCAAATTCTTGAATAGAGATCATGGCTCATCTACAGGGGTGTTCGCAGGAGTAGAACAAGGAATTTTAAGCAGATCTTTAGCCCTTTACTTGTCCTTATATGGTGAATTTTCCTTTTAAGACTAAGATGGTATAATGAACAAAGATCTGATAGTTGGTAATGTCCCAGTGTAATTGTGTATTATTTAAGTTGGTAAGCAGCATAACCATTTTTTAGTCTTTTTTTTTTTTTTTTTTAACTGTGGAAGGAGGAACCTTAATTCAGAAATGCAATTGGTAAATGCTCTCCAGTATCTGAGAGTTTCTCCCTGTGTAGCTAAATCTCCCTGTGAAAGTTTCTACGAATGTTATGATAGCAGTTCCCTTGGTATGGTTAATGGGCCTCTGAATGGTAACATTTGTGCCTTGTGCCCACCATACTCTGAATTAATACTGGATGAAGAGAGTTTCAGGGCTCAGTTCTCTTTCATGGAAAGCATAAAGAAGCACATCTTTACTTCTTAATAGCCAAATATACATGTAGAAGTAAAGACTTTTCTCCTCTGCCATTTCAAGGCTTGCATAACTATCAGAGAGAATTTGGTGAGGAGAAAGAACCTAACTGCAAAGGCCTTTCAGAGTTAAATAAAGAAAAATGTTTCTGAATAGTTGACTCTATATTCTTTTTGCTTAACCTCTTTGATACCTTGTTTCAACACTGGGCTACGTGAAAAATATTCGCCTTGTATAACCTTATTGACAACATTTTTAGAAGCTTCTTAACTAATTGCTGTCCCACTCTATCTAATACAAGAGGGTAAAACTGAAAAAAACTATGTAACAGGCCATCAGTGACATTAGAGTAAAGCTGTAATAAGTCTGGCAGAAAAATAACTGCACCAGGAGTGGTTTGTTATTTTTTATTACGGCATCTGTCATTTCTGCCTTCAGTATTATATTCTTTAAGCTAATTAGTTTTACTAATGCATGGATTTGAGTCATGGTTAATGTGAAAAATGAATTTTATATCCGGGACTGTAAATGTAATAGCACATAATTTATTAATAAGGGGAAAAAACAATCACCCTAAGTCTGGTGTCTTTGCTAGAATGTTCCATGTGGGAAACTATGGTAGTTGGAAGAAAAATAAAAGTCAAAATAGTTCAACTTTTATAATGTACATGAAGCTAACTTCAACTTCCATATTAAAGTTTTGCATGCAATTTTTTGAACTAACATGGTTTTACTTAAACCCTACTCCCAACTGATTTTATTGTCCTGACTAAAGACTAGATCTATATTTTCTATGCAGAAGAGGATCATGCTTTTAACTCCCAGGTACATGGAATAGTTATATTCATGAATCTACAGTATTGGATCAATTATGTGGAACATATATGAAATCACAATATCTTTCAACTGTGATGAGTGTGGCTGATTTTTCTCAATGGGATTTCTTCCATATAAAGACCAGAAGCTCTGATGGCAGGAAGCCAGAAAATTCGCAGCTGGTAACACAATCTACAGGAAAAGAGAGAGAGCAAGGATTATTTTTATTTTTTTTAAATGGCTGCGGATAAAATCATTGTGTCTGTCTGTTTTGTATAAATATTTCGTGATTTTCCCTGTGATGAAAAAAATATGATGCGTACTTTAATCTGTATTTTGTAAAATGAAGATATCTGAAATAACTTCCTACCTTTTCAGAACATTGCAGCTTTATATAAATGTTTGTTCTTGTCCCCTCTCTGTCTCTTGACTTGTGTTTATGTTTATGTATCTTCTTTAAATTGTGTTCTTTCTTTCCTGGATGTGCAAACTTCTATACCACCTGTATTATTATACCTTTTTCCCCTGAAAATTCAGAAATGCTATTTATTTGAATGTAGTTGTAATAGATGCTGTTAATTTAACCATTACTTAGTTGAAAATTAAGCATTAGCTTAGCCAACCATGACAGACTAAAGTACTGTAAATCTGGATAATTGAATAATGCTCACCGCCATGTCAGTGGTTACCTTAGTAGTCTTCTACAAAACTTCTGAAATCAAATTACCAACCATCCTTAAAGACCAAAACAGATAATGTCATGACAATGGAGAAGAGCACTGGCCTTGATACTCATGAAGGCTTATTTATAAAAGGAAACATACATGAAGAAATTTATACAACTTTTGCCATGGAATCAGTGACTAGTGTGAATAATGTTCACAAAGAGGTCATACTTGACAGAGTGCCAGTGAATAAAACTAGAGCTATTTTGGAAGCTAACTCATGACATATGTCATATAAAAGGATGGGGAAAGAAAGCTATCATGCTAAGGCTATATTTTTCTGGTTGAAAGCTATCACGCTAAGGTAATATTTTTCTGATTGACACAGCAGGTTTAGAATGTAGAACCAGAGCAGAAGCTGATATTGTGCTGCTGGTGGATGGCTCATGGAGTATCGGGCGGCCAAATTTTAAAACTGTCAGGAACTTCATTACCCGTATTGTTGAAGTTTTTGATATTGGTCCTGACAAAGTACAGATTGGTAAGTCCTCATATGTTGGAGGAAGAATGAGGCATAACTGCTACACAACCACGTAATAACTGAATAATGATGGCTTTTTTCCCAGGTCTTGCACAGTATAGTGGGGATCCCAGGACAGAATGGAATCTCAATGCTTACCGAACCAAACAGGCTTTGTTAGAGGCTGTAGCCAACTTACCGTACAAAGGAGGCAATACTCTAACAGGTATGGCACACTGCCAGGATTTTCCTTAAGCTCCAATAAAAATAATTTTAGTAACTGACCCCGGTATTTTTCAGTAAGCTCAAATTTGTCGATGATGAAAGGGCCTGACAATTCAGTACAGTATGTTTGGAAGAAAACAGGAGTAGCATGTAGAGATACAAACCCAGTGGGAATCTGGAGAAAAGTGGTGGAGGAGAGCTTGGGTGATGAAGAGCTCGGGTTGCTGTTGGGCATATGAGAAGAAGAAAAGGCGGTTCCATGTCAGAGTTGGGATGAAGATGAGGTGAGGACCCAGAAGGGAGGCTAGAGGAGACCAATAGGAGGATGATAGATAAAAGGTAAGAGATTAAAGACTTTGAATGGGCTGAAATACTATCAGTTGCTGATAAGTCTAGATGATGGGCTGCAACTAGATTCTGAGTGCTTCTAGAGGGAAGTAAATTGTGGAATGATTTTGTCAGACTGAAATCACTAGGATGAAATACTCTCCATTACCATGCCTACTGTATGGGAATAGTTTATAGTGATGGTTACCTTCTTTGTAACATGCTAGGAATGGCCTTGGATTTCATCCTAAAAAACAACTTCAAACAAGATGCAGGCTTAAGGCCCAGAGCTCGCAAAATTGGTGTTCTCATCACTGATGGCAAATCACAAGATGATGTAGTTACTCCTTCAAGAAGACTCAGAGATGAGGGAGTGGAACTTTATGCAATTGGTAAGTATTATATGAAGAGGTGGCCTGTGCCAGTCCCCTCCTGCCTGTCTTCTAAATGTGCAGAGATGTGGCCACATACATAAGTACCTAAAAGGTTATTCAAAGAATGTGTTTAGGGACTTAAGCTAATGGCATTATGTTTCATGGCCATAATTTCTAACAAGTTTTGTTTTCACGTCTTCTCTGTAAGGTATTAAAAATGCAGATGAAAATGAATTGAAGCAGATTGCAACAGATCCAGATGACATCCATGCTTACAATGTTGCTGATTTCTCCTTCCTGGCTAGCATTGTTGATGATGTAACCACGAATCTGTGTAACAGTGTGAAAGGTCCAGGTACATCACATTTTCAGTCTAACTCATCCTTTTTCCAGTTACGTGTTTGCTCTGCTAATTCCTTTTTCTTACTTATTGGGAACACTGTGTAGGCCTGGGCTGTTTTTTCAGCTGATTGTGTGAGGAAGTTGTGCAGACCACCTGGACTACCCTGCAGGGGTTCTTCCTTTCCTTTCAACAGTGACTGTGTAATACCTAACACAGTATGACATGGCTGGAAGGGCCTTCTTTTTTCCCAGTCAGGAAATATGTTGCTCAGTGTGTCACCTTTTTGCTCATTGTGGCAGGTTCTTTGATGACACTCATCCAATAAGGAAAATTTCAGCAGCCTTGCTCTTTTAAAGTCTTAATGTCCGACAACCCAAAAGCAAAGACAATCATGGAAAAGCAATAATGTTAGCTGATAGTTCTCCAGTGAAACACTGGTGTTGAAGGTGGAATAGGAATGATAGGGAGCTTGTTTGGACTTGAGAGTGTGATGGTGAGCTTTCTCTTCACACTGTTTTAAGAATTCCTGAGGAAACAGAAACTTAAGCAAGTACCTAAAGTATTGATTTTTTTTTTCTTCCTAAGCCATTTTTTTGTCTCATGTTTTTATTCCTGATGATATAAAATAAATTAATATTTTTTTAAATTTGCTTCCACTTGTAGGTGATTTACCACCTCCCTCTAACCTAGTTATTTCAGAAGTGACACCTCGTTCTTTCAGACTGAGATGGAGTCCACCTCCTGAGAGTGTTGATAGATACCGAGTTGAATATTACCCTACCTCTGGAGGTAGCCCGCAACAGGTTAGTACTGTATGCTCATCTCTGACATTATCCATAATAAACTTGGACTTCCACATCACAGTAATGTCATTCTGAAGTGTCTGCTGTGTATTGTATAACAGTAAATGACAAAAGGCTCCCAAGGTCAAGAATATCATGCCTTGGTAAATGATACACAAATTACAAAAAGTAGGAGCTTAAAGATGACTTTTTGGTTGCTTTAAAATAATAAATCCTGGAGTAAAATGTATTTCTTAAAAACATTTGACTGGTATTTCTAGTGATTTCTTTCTGTTCATATTCCATTGTTAAACATTAGTTTAAATAAGTCTGTAGTAGAAATTTTCTGCGCATACTCATGAGTAGGCTCACTCTCCTTTTAGTACAGTTTCTTATTAATAGAAAAAAAGGCAGTGGGCGATACAGATTGTGAGGTAGTGCTTAGATTAACGTTGTATGATGGTACTTTGAATCTGTGCCTAAGCATATCCTCCAAACTGTTCAATGCACAAGGTCAACCTCATCTTGTGGTTATTCTCTACACAGAGAGCTGGTAACTGACAACCCTTGAATTCTGAGCAATCTGAATTGCTCATCACTCTCGTCAACCAGACAGAATAGTATTTTGGGGAATGAAGTTAGGCACCTCTGTGTACCTAACTAAACTTCCCATCTCTGAATGTGGCTTTAAAATCTTAACTCAGATTTGACTCATGGAGAATTTAATCTTAATAAACTATGGCCTCAGGATTTTGTCTTTGTTTAGGGTTGGAGCAGCCATTCCGGTGAACACAGACTTTATAGCTTGACTGCTTGCTGGCATTTTTGTTCTGCAAGGTGTTGCTAATGCCATGTGCTGTAACCATCTAGATTATTCTAGATGTTTAAAACACTTTTCCAAAGTAGTAACATATATCTCTGGCACTTTCTTTATGTTGCTGAGTAATATAAAAATGTAAACCATGTGTAAAAGCAAGATGGACAGTGAGTGCTTCTAGATATATCCATCTCTATTGAAAACAAGTGTCTGTCCTAGGTTTCCCTAAAAATACAGCTTGCTTTGCAAAAATAATGGTATACTGTCAGACAAAATACATAAAGGGTTAAGTGCATACTTATTTTTAGTTCCATACCATTGATTTCTGAAGAGTTTCACGAGGAATGATTTTTTCCTTAGAGACAAAATTACAAACGCATTTGTTGTACAGTAGTTAACATTACTTCTCTTTTATGTAGTTTTATGTAAGTAGGATGGAAACAACGACAGTTCTGAAAGATCTGAAACCTGAAACAGAATATGTTGTTAACGTGTTTTCTGTGGTAGAAGATGAAAGCAGTGAACCTCTAATCGGAAGGGAAACAACTTGTAAGTTCGAAGTGGAACTTGAATAACTTGTTAACAACCAGTTTGGCAAATGGGGAGCTGTCCAGGAGAACTTTAGCACTATGGGCCTTCTTCTTAGAGAAAACAATTTTTTTTAATTTGAATGACTGAATTCTGTTGTGTTGCACTGATTGTGCAGATCTTAAAAACTTAAAAAAGTTAAGCAAAGTGAAACTTCATTGTGGTAAAAAATGTTTGTCCCAGCTTCTTTCCAGGCTCACAAAGCACGGCTGTACAACTAGAGCAACAGGCATGAATTATAAGACAGAGTTTATAAATTCCTGAAATCTGATTATATACAAACTTATACTCATTCATTTTTATACTAGATAATTAATTTCCACTACTAGCAGCCAGAATACTTTAGAAATTCATTCTAATTTTATAAGATTAAAAAAAGCCTGTTCAACACAATTACATCACTTCTATGAGACATAAATTAGCCATTATGTTTCTGCTGTTAGCTGTCTACATGATTGATTTTAGGTACATTTATGCTGAATGTAATATAGGATGACTCTCCTGCCTCTTTAACTATATTGAATGTTAGGTGTTCATTTCACTTTTTTGATTGTTTTGTATTAGACTTGTCGTAAACCCTTAAAGTATGTACATGATTTTTATGAAGTCTGTGGTAATTTTTAATGTTTATTTAATAATTTGAGAAATATAGAAAAAATAATAGAGTACAAACAATCCTTTTATAAATACAGATCCCAAACCAATCATGTTTTGTTTTATATTAGAGCATTCATGTGGGTTAAGGTTGCTTTTTAGAATATTCAAGTGTTCTGATGTAGACTTGTAAGATAGTTTTAGCTGTGCATAGCAAATCTGTAGCATGTTCAGAATGTGACGACCTCATTCTTAAACTAAGCACCACTTGCAGATCACCTGTTACCCATAGTGTACCCTAATACCCATATGCAATATTCTCAGTAGTACTACCTGTGATGTGAAATATGAAAGTTGAAGAAGGAGAAGGAAATAAATTAATATCTATCTTTTATTTGACAGTGCCAATCTCTTCAGTTAGAAACCTGAATGTTTATGACATTGGATCAACTTCCATGCGAGTGAGATGGGAACCTCTCAATGGAGCTACTGGTTATTTGTTAACATATGAACCTGTGAATGCCACAGTCCCAACTACAGAGAAAGAGGTAAGAGCATTTTTCTTCACTTCCTGTACTCTACCAAAAATAAGTTAAGAAAATTTGATAGATTTTCTTGATATATCATAGCAGTCAAAAGAGACTGGCATGTACTTCTCAAAGTGCAGTGAACTTACTGGGATATTGTATACAATTACATCAGTCAGGAAGCTGTAAATACACTGTGAATCTCACAAACAAAATTCCCTTGAAGTTAAATCATTGCTTGGTTTTCTGCCATTGCTTTCTTCAGTTTTTAAACATGGTGTGTTATTTTTCATGTGCAGATGCGTGTTGGACCATCAGTGAATGAGGTTCAGCTGGTAGATCTCATCCCCAATACTGAGTACACTTTAACAGCTTATGTATTGTTTGGTGATATCACTAGTGACCCACTCACCACCCAGGAAGTGACATGTATGGACATCTTAATTTTTGCTTTGTTGTTATTGCTTCAGCAACATTTAACTTTCATTTTATTTCATGCAACAGTTTTTATATGTTCTGTTTTGTTCCAAAAACCATCTTTTCCATGTTTTATGCATTTTCTAACACTCATACATTTCCAAAAGATCTGAAAGGCAATTTCAGTGAAAAGGGACCGACTATTAAAAGAGGAAGAAAGAGTTTTTTGCCTTGAATAGTGAAGGGAGTTGGCTTGACAGTCTTGAGGCTATAGTGTTTTCAAAAGGTCTCAATTTTGCTTGCGTTGACTTAGGAACCAAATTCAGATATTAAGAATAGAAAATGCAAAGGAAACATGCTGTAGCAAGAAAAAAAAAAAAGATCTAAATGTGGCTTCCTTTTTAAAACTTTTCATTAAACAAATTTCCTTAAACATTTCCTATTGGCAGAAGCATGTTTCTGGGCTAGATGCACACAGTATGGTTATTCTTATGTTCTTAAAAAATATTAAACCTGTAACTGTACTTTAAAAGTGACTGTTGTCACCAGAAGTGCTGCTACTTTTAAAAGCATTGTGCTCATAATTTACAGTGAAGCTACTGCAGTCTATAGCTATTTTGCTCATTGCTGGGACCATGAACTCTTAAGCTGTCTCATCTAATGGTCAGAGCAATGAACTTCCCAGAAAGTTATTGCCTCCATTTCAATGAAATGCATTAAAACAATTTAATTCCTTCTGTGAGAGACCCATACCTCTGCTCTGAACAGCATTTTCACTTACTACTGTCATTATTTTTACAGTACCTTTGCCTGGACCCAGAGGCTTAACAATTCAGGATGTTACTCACAGCAGCATGAATGTCCGGTGGGATCCTGCCCCAGGGAAAGTTCAAAAATACGTCCTACGATACAAAATAGCTGATGAAGCTGATGTAAAGGAGGTAAATGACAGGAACATTTTTGAAAGTACTAGAAGACAGTTTTATTTTGAGGAGCTAGTTTATGAAAATAGTAGGAAAAAATAGTATTATAAGCCACCATTTTGGATAAAGAAAGTCAGTTTGTGGTGACTGCGGTCAGGAAAGGGTACTGATTTATTGGAAATTGAATAACACAAGATAGATTTCTTTGTGTGCTCCCCTCTTCCTCCTCCTCAAGAGAGGAAAAATCCTCAAACTGACTGGAGAATTTTTCTGTGCTTCGATAAATAGCCATTTTACTCTCTGCTTAAGTGTTATCTTGCCAAGCTCTCAGAACAGTTTATAATTAGAAGGACAGCATTGTGGAATAAAGGTATGTTAGCCCCTTTGTCCACTGTCAGAACATGCGTGAGCCTTGTTAGAGATATTTTTGAGTTATGTGTAAGCTTTCCATAGTTTCACTGCTAGGCATGTATCAGCTCTTGCAGGATTAGATGTGTTTTTGTAAGGGAATGAGAATTTTCTGGAGACGCAGTCTGTACCTTCATTTCCAAAAGAATGAAACAGTGAAAGATACACAAGTAGTACTAGTACCTGTGACAATATGCTTTGCAGGGACATTCGTAGATAGCACTCAATATTCAGGTGTAAATTTACGGGTAAATGGCAAAATTTAGTGTGGAATACTTTTCTGTTTTTCATTACAGGAATTTCTACCATTTAATCAAATGCAGAGTCAGAAATAGAGCAATTTACAGTTATTAAATCAGTATTTTTATTCTTAGGTGGAAATCGACAGACTCAAAACCAGCACTACTCTCTCTGACCTTTCCTCCCAAACACTATATAATGTAAAAGTTGTTGCTGTATATGATGAAGGGGAATCCCTACCAATAAATGCAGAAGCTGTCACCCGTAAGTTTTCCTAATAACCCTTATTGTGGTTATTTTTGCCTTATGTTCTATTTAAGTTATGTGTGTTGCAATATATTACTGAGTTTAGGTGGAACTCTAATTTGATCTATCTCAGAAATATTTTACTTGCATTTGTAGCATTATTTGCAGAATAATAATCCCTGGGAATTTTAGATCAGTTCAGTGTCTTACCGCAGTTAACATTGAGCCTGCAGTTGGCAGAGAGGCAATAGATCAGCAACTGAAGCAAAATTATTTGTATTTAGAGGCTGAAGGAGAAGTGCAGGGGTAGAATTAGTAAGAAAATATGAGGGCAGAGGAAAGTTTTAGCAAGTCTATGCAGGGATCTTGTAGAGAGGGGCCAGCGGAGGGCCACAAAGATGATGAGGGGCCTGGAGCATCTCCCACATGAGGAAAGGCTGAAAGAGCTGGGACTGTTCAACCTGGAGAAGGGAAGGCTGAGAGGGGACCTTATCAGTGTTTATAAATATCTAAAGGGCAGTTGTA